CGGCGGCGGGGAGCTGGGGGGAGCTGTCGGGGGGACTGCCCATCCTGCCGGGTGCTGGTGCCTCTTGGTTTTGTCTCTCGGCTGGGAGAAAAGGGGGTGCGAGGCACGTACCCCAAAGCACAGAGCCCACAGCCCTTGCAGGAGCAGGGTTGGGGGCTGGAAGGTGGCCCCAAGCGTGGCTTTAACGCCGCGGGGAGCCAGGGCAGGGCAGGATGCCCGACGCCGGGCACAGGAGAGGAGATGCTGCACCAGCATCCCATGGGGAGACAGGCTGGGACACAGAGCCGCAGCACGGCCTCTCCTCCTCCTCCTCCTCCTCCACGATGCAGCCTTCAAACATGCACCGAGACACTGAATGGTGTCCGAGGTACTCAGTTCACATCTCCCGGCGTCTGGCATAGAGATGAGCCCCCCCTAAGCTTCCTTTCCTGCTTAGTGGAGCACAATTTTCCCCTGCAGAGCCCACAGATTCTCTGTCCCCCTCCCTCCACAGCAAAGCTTTCCCGGGGGCTGGGGGCAGACACCCGCTGCCTCCGCAGGGCCGGGTTCCAGGATGTGCCCCGATGCATCCCCAGGCTGGGGGGAGAAGGGGCGCAGCAGAACATCAGTCCCCAGCACCAGTCCATCACCCGCCCCGCAGGGAGCAGAGCCCCAGCCCTCAGTGGGGACGGCTCTGGGTCACAGCCCAGCACTGTCATGCTGCTCCAGGACACCCACCTCTCTGCTGGTGAAGACCCAAGGTCGCTCCAAGTTGGCACCTGGGAGCAAAGTCTGGGCTCTGGCCTTGCCCTGAGCCTGCTCCCCGCCATTCCTTGGGAAACGCTTCCTCAAGGTGCCCCTGTGGAGCACCCAGCGGGGCACGAAGGACTTGTTATGCCAGGAAGGGGTTTGCTAAAATTCAGGAAAAGGGTTTCAGAGAGCAGGCTGTGACGTGTCGGGGGAGGAAAGCGAGTGGTGATTGCTCTTCTGTTTAAAGCCATCTCCCAGCACGGGTGTCCAAGCTCCGGGCATGGCAGGAGAGGATGTCCCCTCTGCTCCCCTCCAGCCTTCCCCAGTGTTCCATCTCTTCAACCAACTCCTCTCCGAAAGCACCGTCAGAGTTTGGAAATCACCCACCATGCTGCTTACAGAGTCAGGCTTTAATTCGACAACAAACCGAGATCGGCCAACTGCCACGGCCCACACCGCGCCGCTCCCTCTTGCTCCGCGTCTTCAGCCTCGCAGGGAAGGGTTTCAAACTTTGCAGGGTATGAAATCCTTGTGGTGAGGACCTAAAGCTTTCAGGAAAAATAACCCCACCAGAGCAGAAACCCCCTAATTCAATCGCGGGTTTTCAGCAGAGACACGTCTATGGGAATTTTGATAACTTGAAGGCAGAGCATGTGTTCTGCTGCTGAGCCAAGACAGAAAGTACATTTCTTTATTCAAAAGCTTTTTGGTTTACTTTTATGTAGAAAAGAGTGCAAACAGCAAATCTCATGTAAAAGAAAGCCTCCTTTGGTGGGAAACCGAGCCTTGCAATGCAATAGGGGATGGATGGCACAAGCAGATTTTTGGGGGGAGGTTGCAGGGTTGTTTCTCAGAAAACAGTGGAGATCTCTACTGCAAAACTCCTGATGCGGTCCAGCCAAGGGCTGTATCAGAGACTTCTCCTCTTGGCATCACACTCTTCGGTGAATCACACATGTGGGCATCAATAGAACATCTCCACCTTCTCCAGAGGACTAGAAGCAGCAGGATCCCATCCCCTGAGAAGTTGTCTCCTGACTGATGAGCGAGGAAAAGGAAGGCGGCACTGGCACAAAGGCTGGGTCAGGCTGGCTGACGGACCCACGGCTGTAAGAGAAAGCAGGGGCCGCGCCAGCTCTGCCCCGCGCTGACACTACTCTTCCAGTCTACCAGGGAGCACCGGAGCAGAAGGAACTCGAGGTTGCATTACCATCTACTCCTTCCAGCTGCAGACATTGCCAGAAAGCACGAAGAACATGAAATTCAAGGTGCGGGATTTGGCAACAGAAGCGTGCTGGAGTGCCCCGTCCCACGGGACGCCTGGGAGCAGCACCACAGAAACCATGTCCTGGGGCGGACGACTTGCAACCCAGCACTGCTGTCAGCTGCTCAAACATTAGCTGAGGTCCTTTGGTTCCTGGTGTTTTCTCACCCGAGAGCTCCCCAGCCCAGTGGGATCAGCAAGGAACAGCTGTGCAAAGCGCTGGCCAAGCCTTGGTCCCTGCTGGCCTGAGCGTCGAGGCCTGGTGCTCCGGACCCCAGGGCTGCCCCAAGCCCGTGGGTTGGGGGCAGGGGTACAGCTAAGCGACTCCTTCCTTTCTAACGAGTGGCACCAGCGCAGCAAACACACCCCGTTCTAAAGACCAGAGCAGGCTTTATTTCCTCCCATCTTCCCGCACTCGCATCACACTATTTCAGCCTTTTGAAACCCAGCAGTAAAAAAAAGGATTAAAAAGTACCTCCAAAAATCAGTCGAAGCCACTCATTAATTGTATTCCCCCTCGCTCCCAAAGCATGAGCAAGATCCATTCCAAAGCGCCCAAGGCATTTTCCCCTCTGGTCATTCCAGGGACAAAGACCAGGATGTCCACGCAGAGTCTGAGCTCCCCAAGCCAACCCTGGACAGCAGAAAGCAGAGCACCCCACTGCCAGAGGCCTCAAATGCTATTTCGAAAACATTTCATTAAAAACAGGCATTGTTTGCCCCAGATTGAGCCGCATGGTGATTTTCAGATTAAATTTTAAGTTGTATTTAAGTTGTATTTAAGCGCCTGGCCTGGGTCTTGTGCTCTGCCTCCGGTACGGCTGGACAGCGGAGCCGACCCACCTAGGGAGAGCAGGTGCCACTGCCAAGCTCCCCAGCACCTCCAGCCCAGCCAGTACCACACGCAGCCGGGTGTTTGGGAGGCTTCCCTCCGCCTCCAAGTCCAGCCTGACTCCGATTAATTAACAGAGCCTGCTGAAATCCCAGCCTTAGCTACTCGGGCTGCTCGCTAGCTGCACAGCTGTCTTCCACTCGCACTTGAGAAACTTTGTATGTAATGAGTATTAATTAGCTGAAAGTGAAGCACCATTTTCCAGGCAGGGGAAATTATCTGCTCTCTCTCTGCCCTGTAACAAGCCCATGTTGGGACGAGGCTGCAAAGGGAGCAGGTAGAAGTGGTTCCTTCTTGCTCTGCACATCTGCCACTTTTCCTATTCCGCCGCTTTTTCTGCCATCATTGATGAGCACTTCGCTGCTGCCAGAGCTGAAAAGGCAGCAGCCTTCTGGAAGGAAGAGCTGGAGTCTTTCTGTCATTGCCTGCTACCGCCAGAGCTGGTCCCTGAGACTGTCCTGACCCTCAGATACACTGAACGGAAAGAGCTGCTGTCTCAGAGGGCTCCTCCCAGTGCCAGGAGCTGCTGAACAAGGGACCGGGCCAGAAGAGCACAGGCAATGGATCCTCCCCCTCCAGAAGTCCTCAAGACCAGGCTGGGCAGATGTTTGTCAGACTGACCACAGATAACGCTGCCCAGGAGAAGAGTAGGGGATGGGGCATCCCCAAGCTCTCTCCTACGCCTGAAGCGCTACCATTTCATAGAGAGCATGCACAGTACAACTTCGTTGCTCCTGGTGGCAACATCTGCACCATGAACACGGCACCTGACACCAGTAACAGCAGCATGAAGGGCTTTGAGCAAACGCCCACCCAGAAAAAACTCACCAGGCCACCATGTCCTTCTGGGCCCGGAGCTGAAGAAATGTCACAGAAAGCTGAAGGCTGCAAAGGAGGGTGAGCATCGATGCTAAACTATTGATGAGCTAAATCTAGGAAGGCAGATCTGGAGCTCTTCACCACCAGTTGGGTGTCTTCAGCTCAGACCACTGTGCCAGCTGAAAACACTTAGCTACAACAGTGATGGGCATTATAAAGAACCCCAAGCTAAATGAAGGGAAAAGGTTACCTAATAATTACAGTCACTGCTACAGATCCAGCTGCATCCACAGCTCAGCTTGACCTTTGGGGACCAATGAATAATGCACCATGCTGGTGAAATCACCCTTCCTTGATAGACCACTGTTAGAAAAGAGCAGGGTGGCCTCTCCTGTTTGTCCTTTACTTGCTGCTAAGCTCAATTTCTTCATGTAAGAGGACCAGGAAAGTCAGAAAAATATCATTTCTGTTCCAAAATAATTCCCACTGTAATTTCACATCACTAAATTCCACAAACCATTGGTGCTCCAATGTCTGCCGCAGGGGCTGCAGCAGAGCCAAGCTGAGGTGAAACACTGGGTCAGACTAATCTCTCCGTCTTGGGACACCAAAAGGCAACCGCTCTCCAGTGCAAGTGGCTCAAGCTGCTGAGCACAACCCCATGCACGGATATGCATGGTTTTCAAAGCTGTAAAATCGATTGCAATCTGCCTGCTCTGCGTTGTTCGAGGCCGATCTCATCTTTAGCTTAGCCCATTTTGCATATCCAGGTCCTCA